AGCTGCTACTGCAAACATGGCCACCCTAGAGGCCCAGGATGACAGCAAGCAGTCAATAACGAAATCAAATGTCGTGATCCGCAACCTATTTGGAATGTTCCGAATGTTAACTCTGTAGTTGAACGATCTCCGTGCCCTCTCAACTGTACAGTAATCTCTTAGATAGAAAAAAGCGTTGTTCTGATCAATGATCATATTCTTAAGGGGTCAGGCACTTACATCCTCGCATACCTACACCTAGAATGCAGTAAATAGAGACAACTTCCTGAACTGAGATTTAGCAAGTAACAGGAAGAATGGTTTCTTGATGGTTTTTCAAGTGGGAAGAGTCACCAGTCTCTTGACCTCAGAATTTCTGTGAGAGTAGGGCAAGCTCTTTAGACTGAACTAATGGTATAATATTATCTATTCCCATAGTAAAGCACATGAAGGACTCCAGGGTTAAAACAACATAACACAATCGTGGTTTACAGACAGCGGTCTCGATATACTTCACGAGTTGACGGACGTGACATAAATATCAATCGTAATGGTTATAAAAAACCTCCCCAGGTGAGGATAAAAGTTGTCGCGCTTTAAATTTACCGCGCTTCAGATTTTCTCGTCTTTCATTGGCTAGAACAGTGGCAGTCAACTGGATTTCTATATAGAAAAATCCCCATTTAGACATTTAAAAAACAGAAAGATTGAGCGAAGAAATATTCACTTTTCAATTAGATCCTCATCTCTGGCTCTACTCTAATATATATAGCATTTTTATTACAATACACAACAGTTTACCAAACAAGTGGTGATAAGTTTGTTAACAATAATTAACAATAATTTAAAATATTCTGTGTATATAAACATATATATAATTGTAGAGCCTGGAAGAGGAATTTATCGAAAAGAATATTCTTTGCTCGATTATTTTGTGTTTTATAGATGTCTGAATGAATATTTTTGCAATAATTAAAGTGTCAAAATGACAATGGGTTGATAATAAACGAAGAAAATCAATACACATTTAAAAGGTAGAAATGGATAGAATAAATTAATTTTACAAGGATAACACGTAATTAAAGATGAAGTGGTCAGAAAAAATAAAATAATTTGGACAATTATAATTTTTATAATTTTAAAGGATTAGAGGGAGGGGGCGAAGTAGTCAGGTTTATACAATCATGTAACGATGGCCAAGGCAAGGAGAGTGACTACACAAATTTCTTGTGAACACATAGACTTGGCTTCTTCAGGTGGATTCCTATTGCTTCAACTATCTGTAGAAGACGAACTCGTAGAGCAAAATTAAGATCAGTAGGGGTGTGATAGATAATTTTAAATGCTATATTAACATCAACCTTATGCTCAGTATCTACAAGGTGTGCTACAATAGAGCGACGAATAGATCTTGTTTGTCCCTTGCTTAACCATGTCGGATGATGTTCGGAAATACGATCATTGTAGCTGGCTCCGCAGCTACAATTAGCCGTACAAATAGGCAGGTTCATCGTTATGTGGCTACTTTCACATGCAGAGGAAAAATAGGCAAATGAGACACTGTATAGTAGTGAGACAACTTTGTGGAACTTTCATCTAGCCTGTATGTTTCGCTCTAATATTTCTGTCCCTCAGACCACTAACAAAGTATTGTTAAATGTATTCTTGTAGTATGATTCGATGGCACAATTACTGGCAGTTAATAATATTATCTATGCGTAATATTCATGATACTTCCTGCGCCATTAATGTGCTCCCTATTTCAAAAGAAGTGTAAACTGTGATGACTGAATTTGTTGAATACTTAAGTCAAACATCTTAATTATTTTTTTCCCTTCACTTTCCCCAGTGGAACATAGGGCTTAAAGGTAATGACTTGAAGTTTCTGTAGCAGTGTTTATTTTACAGGATGGGGTTGGTAGCCTCATGCCCAACCTTTCCTCTTTACCAGCATTATTTCCGGCTCAGCTAGGTAAAGGAGTGCGTCGGCCGGACCCGGACCATGCGCATGGTAGGCGAGCGTCCTAACCGCTGTACCACCGACACACTTAAAACCTGGGAGTACTGGACAGCTGTTTCGTCCCAGTTTGGGACTCTTCACTGTACGCACCCACCGGGATTCGAACCCAGGACCTTCTGGTTACAAGGCGAGCTTGTATACCATTAAGCCACTGGGACCCATCTTAATTATGTAGATGCTTAATTTATGTAAGTGAATTTGGTCTGTATCACTTTTAGGAATGTCGAGTCGTAATGAGGCCTGTCAGTTAATTAAATTCAGTGGAAGCAGATGCAGTCGCATTCCGACAGACATCCGAAAAACTGACGAGTTTTTTAGGACTTATGACCAGATACATTCAACAGCCAGGTCTCACAGCCATAGAGGAAGAAGGAGCGAACTGCTGAGCAGTACACACGCCCTTTGGTTGATAGCCGGATATCACATCTACGCCAGAGACGCCGTAAACTGGCATATGCGAAACGAGACTCCTGTATTCATGCTGAGATTTCGTCAGTGATCAACCAGTTGGGGCTGATGTAACTCCCGAAATCAGTGAAATGGTCAACGCGCTCTACCAGTTCACTGCCTATTTCGAAGTTAGGCGTCAATATAGTCCAGTCCTGTAGCATCGTCTTACATTTGGCGGGAGCGAATAGCATGCCAAACATTCGTAGATTGCTACTCAAGGTGTTCAGAAGACTGCATTTTGTCAGCGTCTTCACCTAGTTGAGAGGACTATGTCATCTGTATATTCTAAGTCAACGAGATTATTCCTTGATGGTAACAAGTCAATCCCTGAGCCGCTGTAGTCAGTTAGGGTTAATTCCATTAGTACATTATTGATGAAATTATATAGAAATGGGGATAATGGGCATCCTTGACGGACGCCACTAGTCGTCACCACTTCAGATGACAACTCCCCGTGAGCCCTCACCTGGCTGCATGAGTACGAGTAGAGTACCTTTATCAGCGCAAGGCACTCTACTCGTCGGCAGTATTAAACACTGCATCACACTGCCATTTCCCGCTATTATAGACACGCACTGAACCAGTGTCCCATAGTTTCCGCAGAATCCTGGAAAACGTCTTCAATTGTTCAACTATATCTCTCACGCCTTATCCGACTCCAAGTGCAATCACTTGGTCCACAATTTTGCGATGTATTGAGATATATCAACGAATTACAGACCAAAGCTCAGTTCGAGAATCGAACTTTGCAGATATTTGATTTGTCACACCTAATTCTGAAAAACATCTCGAGCAATTTAAAGCTGCAATTTTCGACAGCCGCTACAAGTACATGCGTGCACGACTGAGTCATTATTATCTGATAACGAAGAGAGGCAGAAAACAACTTCAAGAAAATAAAGACATAATCCTTGTCTGGCCTGATTTAGGGGAATTGTATTGAACAAATCAGATAATGTCGAGAAACAAACAAACGTACTATCAGACGAATACCAAATTCTTCAAATCACCCAACCGAGACGAACAGAAAACCTCCTTGCAAAATTACTGAATAAAATGAAAGAAAATTCAGTTATGACATAGATGTATGAACAAACAAAACCATGCAATTCAGTTTATGCCGAGACAATATGGATTGCCTGAAGTGCAATAAGAAGGATGTCTCACTTCGACATATTATAGACATGGAGTCAACTCACCATATCATCAGATTGCAAAGTGGTTAGCAGATATCCTTGAACGGGTAAGGAGACATATGACAAGGTCACAGCCTTAATGATGTATTTGACTCTAATCCTCCAATTAACAGACATTTTGGTGTTCTATTCAAAAATGACTGCATAGTTCTACCCTCCATAGAGCTAAAGAGCCAACATAATGCTGAAACACTCCAAGATTCCATCTTTAAACGCAGAACGGACATACTTAGAAATTGATAAATGCATAAATTCCATTCAGGTACACGCGCACACACATTGTAGGACAAAAAACGATCGGAGTTCAATGAGACCCTGCAAAAATGAAAGAAGTGACATTCATCAAGCATGCCTAAGCCACGGGAATCCTAAGATGTCGTCAGTTACTGAAAGGCAATTGCTACTTCTTCCAAACGGGTACCGCTGGATGCAAGTCGCTCTATGCGACTATCGAAAACAGACTCATCGCACATCTGCAGCCAGAAGAGACCAGATTTTACAAGTGTACCTAACCAAGCGTTGTAAACGCGAATTTTAACGACCATACTAATTTAGTGACAGTATTATAAAGTATTCACATTGGCCGACGTTCCCTTGACTTCAGCAAAGCGATTGGAAATGTCATGTGTTTCTCACAGATAACGAACTTTACAATTGTTTCTGACAGTTCACCTGAGAAGATGAGGGTAGACACGATTGTTTCTTTAAATTTTACTCCTTTGCGTTCCCAATGGAACATATGGCTTGAAGCTAGAGCTTTAAAGTTACGATAGCAATGGTTGCATCTTTACGGGGTGGGGTTGCTAACCTCACGCCCTACCTTCCCTTTTTACCAGGCTTACTACCAGCTTAGTTAGGTTTAAGAGTGCGTCGGCCGAGAATCGAACCACGGACGCCCAGCGTAGTTGACGACCATTCTCCCACTGAACCATCGACTGTGGGAACACTGATTTTTGTTAATATTGTAACAGTTCAAGAAGACATACCAAACTTACAAATCTTGACCACCACCACCACCACCACCAAGTGATCAATTACTATTTAGGTATGAAACATTTGGACGTTGAATTAAGGGGAAATTCTTTGAGTACACCATACCTTAAATTGGATTTACAAGTTTATTCACTGAATAAAAACTTTGATTTAACCTCTAAATGTTAACAAAATTTAAAATGTTCCCTGAATACATATATTATATTACAAACAACACGTATATTTACAGCATGTGTGCACATTCAAAATCAAGAGAAATTGCCCAGAGAAGAGTTTCAGTTTGAAATTTACACTCAATGATTGTTAAATGCACGAATACACAAATGCCATTCGAATTGTAAATGGATTGGATCACATTGATTTCATTGTCTACGGCGTCGTTTATTACCTGCACTGGTAGAAGTAGATTCAGTATTTATTATGGAACGTTGATCACTTTTTAGAAAGTTAAGTAATAGACTGCGACCATTCTCATCTGAATTCTGATATAATCGAAACAACAGGCTAGGTGGTGGAGCAGGCAAAAGGTGATCTTCATCAACACTTTCATTATTTCTAGTGTCATATAGAGTGGGACCAACACTCTGTGACAATACACTATTCTCATGACTAGTTGATGCATGACTTTCATTACTGTCATCATTTGTGCTAATATTTATGACTGCAGGAGGGGTAGGTTCCTGTCGAGCTTTCGATAGCTTTTCATTATAAGAACAACAATTCAAGTCTTAAGATTGATTTCTGTTTCTTGTTGTATTTTGTAAACCAACCAGAAGACGATTACGTAATTCTGCAGGAAGTAGTTCAGGATTCATTGGACACGTTTTCTTATGACTGGGTAAAATGCACAAGCGACCGATAAAATCGCATCCTAGAGAACGCCAAGGACATGATACCTGAAAATAAAAATAAACTAAATAGGTGAATAGAAAGAATAAGAATACGGCTACTTCAAAATATAAAAGCCTCAAGCTTACAACCCCCAGCCGCGTTCACAAATCAGGACGCCAAGGAATTTTCTAACAAACAATTGACGACACGTAATACAGTAGGTGTAGATGGGATTCAGTTACAGCATAATGAACAGTGAAATGAAACATTAACTGACTGACTGGATTCAACATAGAACTTGGCACCGATCTACAGCAGTTTGAGTTCCCACTCCCTCCTCCATGCAGCACACGAAGCAAGAAAAGAGAGGCTCAAAAGAGAGATAGTAAACACTGGTGTGGGTGAGGGAAAAAGAACAGTAATAACGAAGGACGATGGATATGATATATCACAAAGAGTGAATTTATCCGCGCTGTCACTGAGAACGATTTTGAACCATATTAAAAATCTTCTCCAACCATTGGTTCTTACCATCCCAAGGACCCCCCACCAACCAAGCATTCTACACCGCCATACGTGTCTGGCTTAAACTAACTGTTGTGGATTTGGTTTACCGATGAAGCCATGTTTTAGTTTGACCACCATTAGCTCTTTTCCTGCCTGATCCAACCTATGTCAGCTAACATTACCCGCCGAAGAATGCGATGGCTAGGCGCATGCGTAATACAAGTTCTAACTATCTCAACCGATATACCTTCATAACCTCATCGAATAACTTTTCCTCGTTGCCAAAATACACACGAAGCCTAACCTCAATATTCCTCACTTCAGTATACCACCCAACACACACGGGAGATAGAATGCAGTTAATTCCATCATATAATCGGTTTAGTCTGGATTCTAAAAAAAAATCAAATTTAGCACATTTCCCAATGAAACGACGACATCACAATGTTGGCATCAGTGGCTATCTTTATCAGTAGGTAACGCGACAACAAACACTTGTGCACCTAGGTAGTGAATTTTCTTCTACTTTTTCCTCATAAATTCCTACAGTTGTACATTGTATTAGCAAATGATTACTTGAAAAAGAGAGTATAAACCAATGCCAACGATACTCTCATTGTCTGTACTCACTAAACGTACAAAAACTTACCTTATATTCGCCTATTATATTTTCAACTATAAAATCATGATGCATGGATCCTTTTGGGATAGGCAAACGATCAACCGGACAGGTAGGCGAGTCACGAATCCACGGGTCGATACACTAAAAACAAAGACGGTAAAAACAATACAGTGCAAAAAAAAATCTATATATATTAGGAAATTTACTACATTCCTGTGTGTTTAATGAACATTTCCATTTTATGGATTAAAAATCAATATGAAGAATTTCTTTTGTTTTCATCCATGTACTGGCATTTATTATTATTATTACGGTGTGCGGACAAGTGAATGTGCTTCACACGAGTAATGATTAGCCCAATT